CGGCGGCGGCCGCATGGCTCCCCGTGCGCTGGGGGCCCACCCTCCGGGAGCCAGCAGGCAGAAAGCTAGCCAGCCCGAAGGCTGGCGCTCCCCGCCCACAGCTCCCTGTGCGCCGGAAGCATCCTTCCAGGGACTCTAATGGGTTTTTAAAAATTACTTTTTATTCTCTTTAATTGTTTAATCAATCTTGCATTCTTACATCATCTGAGCAACCTCACTGAAGATAACAATATATAACAACCATTGTTAACTTCCACACCTTATTTTAAAATTCTGTATCATTTTTATTGTTTTTGTGTTATGTTTTTGTCTTTGTTGTTATTTTGTTTTCTTTTCTCTTTAAAATTAAAAAAAAAAATTTAAAAAAAGAAGTTTATTTGGCTCATAGTTCTGTAGAATGGGAATTCCAGGAATATGTTGCCAGCATCTGGCAAGAGCCTTCTTGCTACACCATAATTTGATAGAAGAATAAGCAAGCACAAAATGATAACTCACCTGATAGATAATAAAAGGACTGAACTCATCCTTTTACTATCTGTATAAATAACCCACTCCTGAGATAGAAGCATTAATCTATCTTGAGGGCAGAGTCCTCATGACCTAATTATCTCTTAAAGGTCCCACCTCTTAACACTGTTACAATGGCAATTAAAGTTGTATTCTGGAGAGGGCATCAAACTATAATAAAAATACAACAAAAGGAGGGCTGGAGATGTAGCTCAGTGGTAGAGAGCTTGAGTAGCATGAATGAGGTCCTGGATTCAATCTCCAGCACAACAAAAAAGAAAGAAAGGGGCAGGAGGAAGAGGGAGAGAGAGAGAGAAAATGTCGTAACACTTAGATGGCACTTTGGGTAAGCTCCTGCTGGCCAAAACACAATTGGGGGATGGCACACGCCTGTAATCCCAACACTCACAAGGCTGAAACAGGTGGACTACTGTGAGTTTGAGGCCTATCTAGACTACCTAAGCAAGTTCAAGGCCAACCTGCACTACATAGTGAGACCCTGTCTCAAAGAAACCAAGAACAAACAAACAAAAAAGACAGCAACTGCTGCCAGTGATGACAATGATTGAGCACATAGCACATGTGTTATATAAAATGAGGTCACAGTAATAAAAACATTCTCATTAGTCAACATTGGAAGATACTAGGGAGTCAACTCATTTACTTTGAAAGTTGGTAAAACAAAAGAGAAACAATTTAAAAAGTAGCTGCCTTTTCTTGTGAACTATATTTCTTTTGTCTTTTTTTTTTTTTTTTTTTTTTGTCTTTTTGAGACACGGTGTCTTGGTTACTTTTTTGTCGCTGCTGGGACAAAATACCTGATGCCCAAAATTAAGGAAGGAAAGGTTTATTTCGCCTACAGTTCGTGGAAGTTTCAGCCCGTACTTGGCAGATTATAAGGCAGTGTGGCACATGGCAAAGAGCTACAGCTCAGGGCGGCAGAACACAGCTAAGCTACAACCACACACCAGGGTAGAATGGCGGAGGAATGGCCTCAAGCACTCTTTTCCTCTCCCTTACATATGCAAACTATCCACCCCGGGGCGGGTGTAGCTCTCACACCCACAATCATTCAACTCTAATAGCCTGCCCCGTGGTCGCATGAGGCTTTGGAGGGGACACACAGACATAAACCATAACACAGGGTCTCAATATGCATCTCAGGCTGGCCTTGAGCTCACTTTATAGCCCAGGCTGGTCTCGAACTCACAAGGATCCTCCTGCCTCAGCCTCCCCAGTGCTGGGATTACCGGTGTGCACCACCACACCTGGCTTGTGAACTATATTTCTTGATAACAAACAGTTACAATGGAAAAGTTCTCTTTATAGAAATATTCTACTTAAAAGAGAAGAATGATAGAACAAGAATGTTATTCCTAACTTCCATATTTTTTTGTCTTTTTGAGACAGAGTTTCACTATGCAGTTCAGGCTGGCCTTGAACTCACTTTGTAGCCCAGGCTGGCCTAGAACTCGCTGTCAGCTTCCTGCCTCAGCCTCCCAAGTGCTGGAATTATAGAGGTGTGCCACCATGCCCAGCTCTGCTCCCCAGGGGACAAGTACAATTGTCTAGAGACATTTTTTATTGTCACAAGAGGGAAGGAGGGGGTACTGCAGCCACAAGACACAGGATAACCCCTTACAATTAAAGAACTGTCTGGCCCAAAACATCAATAGTGCCAGGGCTGAGAAACTGAGGTCTAGACAATGATAATCATCAATTACTAACATCACAAAAAGACCACCAATGTATATATCCCGGCAGGAGTACTAAAACCATCCATAAATCAAATTTGCCAAAATAATTAAATCTAAATCTGATTGAATAAACCATAAATTTACATGAAATACAGGGGACTGAAGAAGGTACTAATTTACACCAGAACAAGCTCAGTAAAATTCAGACTTTGAGAAACCACAGGGGAAATGACATGGATTTCTTTAAAAACAAAAAAAAAAGGTAAGGGAAAAAAACAATGGGGAATGGGTTTAAGAGATTTTAAAAAGTTTGAGACATATTAGAGAATGGAGATGCGAAGAAAAGAGATGCATAGAATGGATCTTATTTAGATCTAGATTCAAACAATTTTTGAAAACCAAACAAAAGACAACAGGAAAAGAGTGAACAGCTGGATAATTGATATTAAAGAACTGTTGGGGTTTTTAAGGTCTGGCAATGATACTGTGGCTTTGTTTCAAAGACGAATCCTTATCCTTTAGAGATAATATACTGAAACATTTACCGATGAAATGATATAAATACACACCACAGAAGGCTGAGGCAGGAGGACAGCCACAAGCTCAAGGCCAGCCTGGGCTACATGGTGAGTTCAAGGCCAGCGTGAACTACATAGCGAGACCCCATCTTGAGGGGAAGGGAGCGGAGAGGAGGGGAGCAGAGGGGAGAAGACACACCAAATAACTGGCTAGGGGAGAGCGCAAGGATATGGCCAGAACAGGACTGGCCACAAAGTGACACAGGAGAATCACTGGCATCGTAGGTACAAGAAGCAGGGACTTCCACTGCCTTCACATAGGAGAGAGCAGGCCCTGCTCTTCTCCCTCCCCACACGCCAGCTGGGTGGTGACATCTACCCTCACAGTCTCCCTGACCATCACCTGTTACCTGTGTCATCTACCTTCCACCCACCCCAACCGTCCCCCTGGATTTTTAACCTCGGTTGAAGACCCAGTATCTAACGTAGAAACTTAAAAATCATCCTGGTTGATGCGCTTTCCACAAGGCTGACGGCCGCATCAACCCTGAAATGTCGCACTGCACCTCCCACACAAGTCTTGTGTTTCCTCCTACGCTTTGTTATCCCTATCCTAACTCAGCCCATGCTCCACACAGCCTCCTTCCTGATGGGTCCCCAGCTTGCACACAAGCGCCACGCTGCTCTTTCTAAAAGCGCGCGCCTGGCTCTTCGACTTGAAACTACTATTGCCAACTACAGTGCTTCTCGAACTCGGATGAAGGCCAGAATCCAGGGTCCGCGAAGCTATCTACATTAAGATGAGGCATCACTGCTCGCGCTCCCAGGCCTCACACAACCGTGGAGGGCAAATTCGCAGCGCTGCGGCGGCCAGCGGGAATTTCAGGCGAGGGCGCGCACAAGCGCTTCGGGGCAGACGAGGCCCCGGGCGGGGCTGCCCGGCCGCGGCCCTCTCCGCGGCAACGAGCGCTCCGGGAGGGCCGCAAGCGACCCGCCCCTCGCCCCGCACTCGCCTGCCTCCTCCCAGCCCCGGCGTCAGCGTCGCGCGTTCGGACGCCTGTGTTCTTTCTCGTCGGCCCTTCTCAGGCCAACAGTACTTCTCGGTTCCAGCGCTCACAACGTGTGACAAGGTCCGTGATGCGGCGGCGGCTGTTTCTATTCATTTTCTCCTTCACATACCGCAGAAACAGAAGCACTGCGCTTTAAACTTCTCACAAATAATTCACGCTCCCTCAAGCCGCCTCACCTCAGAGCCGCAGCTCCCGCTCCCGCCTCCCTCCTTTCACCGCTAGGCGGCAGAAGGGTCGACGACGCCGGAACCGCTCCGCTGGATACCGCCGGGATCCCGGGCGTCACCCAGTCCTCCCGATGATTGGCTGTTTCGCCCACGACCGGGGGAGGAGCCAGCAGCAGAACCGGAAGCGCCGAGTGCGGCGAAAGCTGCGTCCCGAGACGGGGCGTGCGCACTCCGGGCCCCTGAGGCAATTTAGAAGAGGGCAGCTGCCAGTCCTCCTCGGACCCGAGGCGGGCAGAACCCGCTCCTAAGGGATGAGGGGCGGGACGGGCAGAGAGGGGTCGCAGGAGTGAGGGCTGGGCAACAGCAGGGGAGGAGTCGCCTTGGGAGGAGGGGTCACGACAACTGGCGGAGTCGCTCTGAGGGGTCTCGATGCGCGGCAGGAACGCGCAGTGGCGGGGATGATGCCGCCCCGAGGGGTTCTGGTGCCGAGGGTGGCAGTGTCACCCTAAGGAAAGGTCCCGGCAGGGGAGGGTCCTCCGGAAAAGCGGGCTTTGAGGGGGCGGGACCTGCCGCGGGTGGGCTCCCGCGGAAGGAGGGGCTTCCCTGCAGGTGGCGGCTTCTCTCTTAAGAGAGGGGAGCCTTTGGACAAAGAAGAGGGAGACCCAGGCTGCGGGATCCCTGGGCGGAGGCCCTGGAACCTGAACTTTACTCCGGGAAGGCGGCGGAGGGAGGAGCCGTCGGGCCGAGCGGGCGGGCCGGCGCCGAGCTCCCAGCCGCCGGGC